TGACTAACTAAGTACATATAACATATTCCCATCAAAATACAAAGTTCATTGTAGTACGTAATGCTAGTTAAAACTTAATACATGTTAATGTTTGATAATGAAATCAACTACTATATAAAACAACATCAAACATTTTTAATTAGTTAGCCCAAATTAAAACTAATCAACCATGACTTCACATTTAAAAATTGTCCAAAAATCAATCATGACAGATCAAGTATGTAAAGCACTACATGACTGTAAGAGAGATTACCCTACATGCATTAAAAAAGATTTGCAACAATGGATTGATGAAAATTTTCATTTGAAAATTAGTCAAAAATATAATATCGAACATACTCAAACGATCATCTGAGTACCTTTCATTAACTTAAGAAAATAAGAAGATATCAAACTACATAAATCTACAAAATATCCAGAGATGGAGAAGGTTCTTTATGAGTGGCTTCTTCAATACCAAGAACATATAAAGATGTATGTAGAGTTAATTTTGGAGAAGATAAAAGCGGCGATGAAACTTCTATACACTCAATAACCTTTTGAGTAGCACAAACTTTCTCAGGATTAGTTTGAGAAGTTCAAGTTAAGATATTATATCAAGTTATATTTAATGTTATTTTTTAATTAAATTTCATGTTATATTTAAATGTATTTTATATATTTTATTTTGTAAACTTAATTTTTTTATTTTTTTTAAATTTAATTAGAAATATTTTTTTATAGAATGCTTCTTTCAAGTAGATAGTTATATAAATAGAAGGTGTTTTCTACAAAAACAAATCACCTTTACTGACTAGGGTGCCACTTCGGTAGAGTGCTTTCTACATAACACATCTTTTTATTATAGATGTTGGATCAAGAATTTATCTCAATAAGTGTTAGTTTGGTAATTGATTTTTTTGGTAAAATATATAAATACTCCCTCGATTATAGAGTGTTATTTTGTTAAGTCTCTCAATTATTAAAAGTTACAAAATAATATCTGAATATATATGATTGCATTGTTGAGTATCTCGACTATTAAAAGTTACAAGATGATCATCCGACTATTTATATGTTACAAATTAATCTTTTTTAATCTCCGACTATATATTATTGTATTGTTGAGTATCTCGACTATTAAAAGTTACAAGATAATCTGTTATGACCCTAGGAGATTAGAGAAGAAAATTAGACGAAGAATGGACAGAATTGAGATTAAAGAAGAGAAGAAAAGGGATTCAAGAAAGCTGAGAATTCATTCATTCATTTCCTAAGCCTCCCATGCTCTACAAGCAGGTAATTTATTTAGTTACACTTGTAGTACTGTGAATCTAGCTATGCCAGCTGGCATTTACAATAACAGACTCATAACATAATGGTTTTGTTTCATTTCTTCTTTTCAGCAGGTATTGACCAACTGGTCTGGCCCTTTCTAACATTACTTGAGTCTTCCCAATCTGCTCCAGCTCTTCGGGTAATATCCTCACTTGACTATTACATGTTTTAATTCCCAATTCGCATTTCTCAATCCCTAATTCATTTTTTGAATCCCTAATATCCTTCGCTGCTTCTTGTTTCTCCTCCTCTCTCCCAACCGTGATAATTTCTCCCCCTTTAGACGATCCTTGTCCCCAAGGATCAAAGTATCGAATTTGTGATAGCAAGACCACAAAATCCTTCCAAGTTGCAAAAGAAGGAAGTCCACACCAACTAATTAGCCATTGCTTGTAACCAACAACACCCAATATCACATGGATAAAATGATCTCTAGGATGCACCCTAGAAACATGTCCCAATCTCATCAATTCAGCATTGACTAAAATCACTTGTGCAGTCCATTTAGGCAACTTATTCGCATTGTTCTTTAACCCAGTAGCCAAAATCGCACCCCTTTGAGTCTTCTACTTCTGCCTCCAATTGTTATGACCCTTATTGCCATGCCTAACTAAAACCTGCTGTGAAAACTTCTGATTTATATCATTTTTCTCTTCTGCAAGTTGGGACAAATTATCCTTTGCAATAGCCAATGAGTCTTCATGTAATTTCATAATTGTTTGGGTCTCTGTTAACTTGCCAACCAGGATGCTAGCCTCGTCCTTTACTTCCCTCAACTCTCGTTCAATATGTGTCTCGGTAGACTGAAAATAATCAATTGTCGCTTGGGCCTTTGCTAGCTTTCCAGACATGGTGCTAGCCTTCTCTTTTACTTCCCTCAACTCTTGTACGACATTCCTCAGACAGCCCACCTCAACAGTCTCATCAAGCCGATTCTCAAATTGAAAAAGAATTACAGTAAGGAATTCATTACTATTAATCCTGATGACCTCTACACGAAGAGTTTCCCAATTTTGAGCTGACATAGCCTTGTACTGAAATGGAACAATAAAGAGCTTGCAATAATTTCCCAAGCAACAACCTGTTACCTCAATCCTTTATTTTGGCAAGAAACCATATTGGGGAAGCACGATTCCAGTTATGCATAGCTTAGGAGGCCTACCAGGTCTCTTCGAGAGATGTTGAATAAAAATAGGCCACTGAAAACTATATAGGATACTAAAATCTACAATATGAAGGAAACTTGTGTTCCCAACCATGTGGTAAATCATTTTGTCTCCATACATAATTGGTAGCTTCTTAAACTGGTAAGCACTAAGGTATCCTTTGTAAGACTTCAACATATCAGCAACTGTTGTCTTCTCGGAAACTAGATATGCATAAAAAAATTTGGAAATACTTGAGCCAACCTCTGAGTTCCATTACCGAGAGAAGTAGAGTTATATTTAGTATGTTTTAGTATGTTATACACATAAGAACTAATCTCGCTATGTGTAGTATAGCAGCTTATAAACCCCCCACATATGTATAGCCTGAAGGAATTCATTTATGTATATAACCCACCATTTTGTAGCGAGCAGAACAATTGTTGGTCTACAGAATAAACTAATTTCTCTTTTAGGCACACTCAAACTCCTATCAATTTGAACCATCTTACATCTCATCAACAAAAGTCGAAACAAAAAAGGATCAAAGATTTTAACATGTTTGTTGACATCCCTAAACATCTTGGAACAATTTTCTCTAAACGCAGATGGAACTAGATAGTTGGAATTATTTGAGTTACCCAGAGAAAAATCAACTATGGAGGGCGTAAAAGTAGCAATTTGAACTGATATAGGCAAACCTGACTTCTCAAACAGTGGAAAAACTATTAAGGGTTGCTTCACATGGCATTTATGCTGCAGGAGCTCAACAACAAGAACATTCGAAAGGGCAGTTGCCATTGAAATGATGTATGCTCCAAAGTTGTCTGCTGGAAGCTCTATCAAGACACTAAATGTATCCAAAACATCAGTAATTTCTTCTGTTTTAGGAAGATTAACACCAAACAACGGACGCTTTTCACTTAGTTCAGATAGTAGCCATTCATGTCTTTGTTCTTCAGACCACTCACTGTAGAGACTAATTTCCAAGTGTTGGGTAATGGCTTCCAACACATTTGTATGGCGGTTAGACTCTTGACGATGGTTAAGTCTAACAAGTACAGTCCAAAAGTTAAAACTTGCCTTAAGAAATCAATAAGACTTCCATTAGCAATTGACCGGTCACCACAAGAGCAAAGTGATCTATAATATAGTTCTAGAGGTTCCAGAAATTGCTTAATGTTGGTGAAAATTTCTTCATCGGAAATGTCAGAGATACCATGAGATAACATTTGGCGAAACCTTTCACTTGTCTGATACAACTTATCCCTAACATTACCAAGAATAACACGGTAGGGTTCATTTGGAGGAACTTATTTGCAGAACTATTGATGTTTCCCCGAGATCAGTTTGATAGATCGAACGAGACTGGTGTTCTGATGCAACCTTGAATCAACCTTCATGGTACTAGTGATTGATGACATTGCATCAATTACTTTTGTTCGCATTTTATCAAACACTTGATACCCTTCATTTGTGCCTTCGATTGCCACAGGTAACGACTTCGTTTCAGGGCTGTTTTGGTCTTGCTCCATTGTCTTTCCTGTCAATACACTTAGGATATGTTCGAAATAACCCTTATTATTTGCAATCCTTGTCTCCAGGTACTGCTGATCTTGCTTCACCAGCTTTGATAAGTCCTCAATCTGGTTTTGAATTACAGAAATAGCAGAGGATTCAGCCATTGCTTTGCCAGGAGTGGTGGCTCTAATTACCAATTGTTATGACCCTAGGAGATTAGAGAAGACAATTAGACGAAGAATGAACATAATTGAGATTAAAGAAGAGAAGAAAAGGGATTCAAGAAAGCTGAGAATTCATTCAATCATTTCCTAAGCCTCTCATGTTTTACAAGCATGTAATTTATTTAGTTACACTTGTAGTACTGCGAATCTAGCTATGCCAGCTGGCATTTACAATAACAGACTCATAACAGAATGGTTTTGTTTCATTTCTTCTTTTCAGTAGGTATTGGCCAACTGGTTTGGCCCTTTCCATCATTACTTGAGTCTTCCCAACCTGCTCCAGCTCTTCGGGTAATATCCTCACTTGACCATTACATGTTTTAATTCTCAATTCACATTTCTCAATCCTTAATTCATTTTCTGAATCCCCAATATCCTTCACTGCTTCGTGCTTCTCCTCCTCTCTCTCAACTGTGACATAATCATCCGACTATTTATATGTTACAAATTAGTCTTTTTTATTAAAAGATTGATGACAGTCTGAGCTAGACGTTAACATGTTGACTGTGATATGATAGTCGTTTGAGATTTTAGGATTAAATTTTATTATATCATAGTCAACAATATAACGCCCAACTTAAACGCCCATCAATTTTTTAATAAAAAAAAGTTTAAAACATATAGATAGTCAGATGACTATTTTATAATTTTTACTAAATAGAAGATTCAACAAAATAATGTTATATAATTAACAACGCTTTATAATCTAACACTATTTATATGCTTTATTTTTTTGGGGGGTAAATTTGAGTAAAAAAAAACCAGGGTTAGCTGGGTGACTTATAAAAGCCTCCATTTGTTGTTTTACACTCCCTGTGGCTTGGACTTACTTTGATTCCCCGACCACCAAGCCCAACCTACAGCGGAAGTGAACCGGTAAGGAGGCGATGAACGGAAACGGCAGGAGGCGATGAACAGAAACGGCTGGAGGAAGACAAGACCAGTGGAAGAAGATGACAAGGGTTTGATTTGGAAACTTCCGCCGCTTAAGCTCAAGGATGTGGGTAAGGTCGGTCTTGCTTTCAGTCTCGGCGCTGGTTGCGGTGTCGGTTTTGGTGCCGGCCTCATTGGAGGTATTCTTTACTAATCATATTCGTTTTAACAATTTTCTTTGTTAAATTTCCTTTTTTTGGGGGGGGGTCTAGAGGTGAAATGATCATGGACATGACGAGTAAAAGTTCATATTAAAAACGTATGGTATATGGTTTATTTATTAATTGGATTACAAATATTTTATCTATAATTGAATAAAAAGAAGAAATGTGGAATAAATGAGTAATTGCATTGATGCTAGTCTCACTTTGTGCTTTTGGAAGATCAAAAACCACTGGCCTACTGCTAAATTCTCTTTAATTTATCGATGACCTTGAGGATTTTTTTTTGGTGCTTCATATTTTGGATTGCATGGACCTCATACTGCAGTGACTTATTTATTTTCATTCTAAATTTGTTCCATTCTGTGTTAGACATGATCATCTTCTCTTTCATTCTAAATTTAGTTCTCTCTCATTAGGTGCTAGCTTTGGTCCTGGAATTCCTGGCTTACAAGTTGGCTTTGGTTTTGGTGCTAGATGTGGGGTTGGCTTAGGATTTGGCTATGGTGTCGGTATGGGCGTTGCTCGTGATGAGAACCGTTCATATTCTAATATTAAAAGCTTATTTGGCAACCAACATCCTCCTCTGTAGTGAGTATTTATATTTTATATGTGTATATATTTGTTTCTGCTATATCCTTCTAAATTCTTTATTGTAGTAATAATAAAATTAACTTTATCGAAGTTTTTGCTTGGATTTAAATGCATGTTTTGCTGATGGGAAGTAATTACTTTGTTTCCTTACTTTCTAGCATAAAAAGTTATTGCTTTATAAACTTATCATCCATCTTAGTGAAGTAGGTTTTTAGATTTCTAAGAGTATAGGGTTTACAGTTATTAAAAACATGTTACTTTGGTTTGAATATAAAAAGATGAAGTCAACATTTTATCTTTAAGGGGATGGTGTGAAGATAAATTTTTCGAAAATTGAAACCCCATTAATTAGTTGAGTGGTTACTATTATTGGCAGTATATGAAGATTGACCACTTCTTCAATTAGACATCAAAAATACATTCTTAAATGAGGATCTTGAAGATGTGTACATGGAGATATCTCCAGGTTTAGAGAATTCCTCAAATTGCATACAAAGTATGCAAGCTAAAGAAGTCACTGTATGGCCTAAAACAGTCTCCTCGTGCATGGTTTGACAAACTTACCAAAGTTGTAACTAACCAAGGATATAGTTACTGCCAGTCGGATCATACATTATTCTTGAAGGTTTCATCAAAAGGTAAAAAAGGCCATACTTATTGTTTATATTGATGACATTATCATAATAGGAGATGACTTTGAAGAAATTGTTATGTTGATGACATTATCGTAATAGGAGATGACTATGGAGAAATCAATAAGCTAAAAAGTCAACTTGTTGTTGACTGTGAAGTGTGAAATCAAAGATCTTACTACTCTCAAGTATTTTCTAGGGTTGGAGGGTGCTCGATCAAAAGCTGGGATTGTGAAAGAAAATACATTATGGACTTGCTAACAGTGACTGATATGCTTTGATGTAAACCAGCAGAAACACTCATAGACCCCGATTCCTAACTTAATGCTAAGAAAAGATACATAGTGCCGGTTAATAAAGAATAATATTAAAGGTTAGTGGGAAAGCTGATTTATTTATCTCATACAAGACCAAATATTGCATTTCAGTAGGTATTGTAAGTTAGCATATGAATGATCCTAGAGAATAGCATCTAGAAGCAGTTAATCGAATCCTACGATATCTCAAAATGACACCAGGCCATGGTTTATTTTTTAAAAGAAGTGAGAACCTTGAGGTTGAGATTATTATAAGAATTAAAGGTTGACTTTAATAATCAATTCAAGGTGCAAAGTGGCAACCAATTTGCCATAAATATTGTTAAAAATCATGTTCATCATGACATAACCAAGCATGTGGAGATTGGTAGACACTTCATTTCAGAGAAAGTCAATAATGGGATAGTCAAACTAAGCTATGTTCTTACTTAACTACAACTAGCTGATATTTTCACCAAACCACTTCCAAGAGTTAACTTTGATGCAGTGTAGGATATAGTTGTGTACTTTGTATTTAATATTTTACTTTGTATTAAACTTGTATTTTTTATTTATCTAAGTAGAATATAAGATAGTTATCTGTTTAGATAAGAAAGTAAACAGTACACCTAGTAGGACTCTTATGTTGTAAATCCTAGTAGGACTCTACTGTTATAACTCAGCCAATTTTAATAGTTCTGATTTTTTCCCAGAATAAGAGGATCGAGGGTTAGGGATTGGGAATTAAATCACGTGAGGTGCTCGAGGAAATTTACCATAGCAGTGGAGCAGGCCAGGCAAAGTAAATGTCTGAAGGAGCAGCCCAAAACCAAAGGTTCAGTACCTGAAGAAGAAAGGAAAGAGAAGAATAATTTTGTTATTTAGTTGTTATATAGCAAGGACAGCTGGCATGAAATGTATGACAAATGTAACTAAATAAATTACCTGCATTGGTTGTAAAAATCCCTTATGCCATGAATGAATGACTGATTTCTTCTCTCAATTCTCTCATTTTTTTCTTAAACCTCGTTCTATTTCTTCTATTCCATAACAAATTGGTATTCAGAGCCTCCATTCCTGGCTTTTGATATTTGTTATGCTAAAGAAAAACCACACAATGACACAAAATCCAGAACTTTCTGCACTACAGAAACAAATAGAGGATTTGATACTTTTAGTGAAGAACGTAACATACAACACTAATCCACCAAAGTGGTGGGAGGGGAAAGACAATCGAATCAGCTCATTGGGAGTCTGAATGAATACATATCAAGGTTATGTCGAACAAATTTTGGGTATACTGATTAGAAAGAAGGACGGGCAGGAACCAGAAAACCCCGACAGTCAGCAGGTGAAGACTCTTGAACCTTCAAAACCTGATGGTAAACAACCAGTGGCTCTGACAATAATCAATGAAAAATCAGGCTTTACTTACCAACTGGAGGAATCTGGAATTCTAAAGTCCAAACCAGATGAACCACCTCAGAAGCCGAAAGCAGATTTGCAGTTGGGTGACGGCAGTGGAACAAAAATATCACAAGGAGCCCTTGTTGATGAACGACGAGGGTTATTTGGGAGTCTCGGATCAGTGACACCAAGACTTCGAATAGAATTACCTATATTTGAAGGGACAAATCCAAAGGGATGGATCCAAAAGTGCATCAAATTCTTTCATTTTTATGGAGTTACTGCTGAAGAACGAGTGGCGCTGGCTGCAATGCATAATAGAGGTAAGGTCGAAACTTGGTTTGATGATTATATTTTGCAAAAACATCGGGTCTTATGGCATGAATTTGAAGCTGATATATGTCATAGATTTAACGACAAAACTTTTCCGAAAATTATGGAGGAATTTAGTAAGTTGTTGAAAAAATGTTCTGTTGACGAGTACCAAGATAAGTTTGAAGAACTTAAACCCTATATTCTGATTCAAAGTCCTACATTGCGAGAGGAATTCTCAGTGTCAATTTTTGTTAGTGGTTTAAAGGAGGGTCTCGAAATGGGTTCCACTCAACCTTTGGCAATAATAGTTGCTAATGGAGAGAAAGTCTTCAGTTCAACTAGATCGAATCAAGTATCTTGGACAATACAAGGATTCCATTTTAATCATGACTTTCGAATCCTTCAACTTGGTGGGAGTGATAGGGTACTTGGTGTCGATTGGATGAAGCAATTTAGTCCAGTTCTTATGGACTGTAAAGACATGACTTCGAGCTTTCAAAAGGATGGCAAAATGATGATTATACAAGGTCAGACTACGATAGGTAATTGGAAATCGATACCAGGAAACAGAATGCAAAAAATGATAGCAAAGGTTTCTTCTTTAATGGACGAATTATATGTACTCGATATGGACCCTGTTGCTTTAACAGTTTCCAGTGAATTAGAGCCTTTATTACAAGAGTTTGACAGTATCTTTGATGAGTCTACGGGTCGGCCTCCTATCAAGGCTCATGATCATCCAATTACTCTCATACCAAGCTCACTTTTAATCAATTTACGACCCTATCGCTTCACACATCATCAGAAAAATGAGGTGGAAAAACAGATCACTCAGATGTTGACTTCCTCTATAATTCAAGCAAGCAAAAGTTCGTTTGCTTCTCCCTATTTGTTGGTTAAGAAGAAAATTGGTTCCTGGCGCTTTTGTGTTGATTACAGACAACTAAACAGCCAGACGATCAAGAATAAATTCCCAATTCCAGTTGTTGAGGACCTTTTGGAAGAATTACATGGGGCAATTTTTTTTCCAAAATTGACTTATGCTCGGGCAATTGGAAAATATGTATCCAACCACAAGACACCCATAAGACAACGTTTCGGACTCGTCACGGCCACTTCAAGTTTAAGGACATGCTAAAGGTTCCGGTGCTCTATATAATCAGAGCTTTCATTCCAACAACTATGATCGTTGTCCTGTATTATTTTGATCACAGTGTATCTTCGCAACTAGCTCAACAGAAGGAATTCAACTTGAGGAAACCACATTCTTTCCATTATGACTTACTTATTGGATTTTTGACGATATTATGTGGTCTTATTGGCATCCCTTCGGAAAATGGTGTCATTCATCAGTCTCCTACGCATACTAAAAGCTTGGTTGCATTGAAGCATCAATTGCTTCGAAACATAATAGTAGCGATAACCCGTAAATGTATGCATAATAATGCAAGCTTAGGACAAGTGACGACAGCATGCGAGAAGCTTATCAACAAATGCAGAGTCCATTGGTTTACCAAGAACCTGTTGCTAGGGGATTAAATGAACTGAAAGCATCAACGATTCAAATGGCTTCAAGCATGGGAAATATTGATGCCTCTGTTGATGAGACAGTATTTGACGTTGAGAAGGAAATTGATGATCTGCTTCCTATCGAGGTAAAAGAACAGCGGCTAAGTAACTTGGTTCAAGCTTACAGTAATGCTTTTCATAAAAACGGATCACGAGCCACTAAAATATTTGTTGGAGCAAAATGGTGTTCACTGTCCAGATTCAAATGGATTGAGACAATTGAGATCTAATTCAATTGGTGGTTTTTTTTCTTGTTTTCCCCACTGCACTTGATTCTAACGCAATCAATGGCCATTTAGATACTAGGCTGCTGAAGGGTACCACAGGTTTGCAGGAAGGGAACAATACTTTGCCAGAGGTTATTAATGAAAGAGAATCTGGATCTTTCGAAGAGAGCAAAAATAGTATGAAATACAGAAATTCTGCATCAGTAGCTAATGGTGGTCAAGATGAGGCTGATTGGATTGAAAAGTATGAGCATGGAGTCTACATAACTCTTGTAACATTGCAGGATAGAACTAGGGATCTTAAATGTGTGCGGTTCAACCGGCGAAGATTTGGAGAGCACCAAGCAGAATCTTGGTGGTCAGAAAACCGCGAGAAGATTGTGGACATGTATTGGGATTGGGAGCTTACAAATGAAACTCAACCTATTTGGAATATGTTTACTCATCTAAAGAAATATGTAGGGTATAAGTTTGGGTATATTGAGCTGCCAATTAATGATCCATGCCTGGCTATGGGGTTTATACCTCTTTATTCTATTGGTCTTCGAGTCGGGCAACTTGTTACATTGAAACGGAGAAATGAGAGGCCAAACGATATAGGGAAGAGCAAAGTTTCACAAAACAATGATGAAGTGTTGTATGAAGTGAATGTGAATTCCGATAAACTACCTACTCTGCTATGGTGTTTAGAATTCACAGTGCATAAGGTCTCATATATATTGCAGAATAGAATTAAACAACATGCTGACAAAAATCGAAGTGAACGACAGTTTCAAATTGGAGAAGAAGTATACCTAAAATTACAGCCCTACAAGCAAATGTCCATCGCCCTACGAAAGAATTTGAAGTTAGCAGCGAAATTTTATGGGCCTTATCGAATTCTGGAAAAAATAGGAACAATAGCTTATCGATTAGACTCACCAGATTCCTCTCAATTGCATCCAGTATTCCATGTGAACCTCTTGAAGAAGTTCATCGACGATTCATCCACTGCTGTCACCGATCCTCCTACAGTTGATGATGAAGGGCTGTTACAAATCAAAACCTTAAAGATTATGGGCAGAAGGATTGTAAACAAAAACGGCAAACCTGTGATTCAACTTTTGGTTCGCTGGGAGAATCTCGCTGAAGAGAATGACATTTGGGAGGATTATTCGACACTCAAGGGACAGTTTACTGCGTTCGATCCTTGGGGACAAGGCTCGTCTCGAGGGGTGGGTATTGTCATGGTTGGAGAAGAAGAGGGACGAGGAACCATCAAAGAATAATTGGGAAATGAGGATCGAGGGTTAGGGATTGAAGACATGGATTGGGAATTAAATTACGTGAGGTGCATGAGGAAATTTACCATAGTAGTGGAGCAGGCCAGGCAAAGTAAATGTCTGAAGGAGCAGCCCAAAACCAAAGGTTCAGTACCTGAAGAAGAAAAGAAAGAGAAGAATAATTCTGTTATTTAGTTGTTATATAGCAAGGACAGCTGGCATGAAATGTATGGCAAATGTAACTAAATAAATTACCTGCCTTGGTTGTAAAAATCCCTTATGCCATGAATGAATGATTGATTTCTTCGCTCGATTCTCTTATTCTTTTCTTAAACCACGTTCTATTTCTTATATTTCATAACAGTGTTGTTATGTGCAGGGATAAAATTGGTGGCCTAATTGACGAGCTTGTGATCAATACCAAGAAGGTAGCTATAGCAGCTACTAGGGAAATTGAAAAGTAGAGAATATGATTGAACTTGAAGGATGTATGTTTTGTGAATGTTGAATAGGAAAGGAACTCTTATTTCGAGTATAGCGTTGCATAAAAACCCCTCTTGACGTAGATTACTTATTATAAGTTTAATATATGCTCCTGTTTATATTAATTTTGATATTAGCTCAATGTATATGGTATGCCATTTTCTCTGTTTTTAACTTCAGACAGTAATACAGGGGCAGTTAAATCTTCATTGAAGATTTTGAGGTGCAATGCTTAGTTAAACTTCATTGGTCTCCATCTTCAACGTAAATTTGATCACATACTATAAGAAAACCCATTTGCCTTTAAATTTCATCAAAAACCAAATGGAGGTTCTTTATGGATTTTAGACTCAATGACCATCAGTGATAAATGTTCTTGTTATTAGCTATAGAATCTAGGTACTTTTCTTTTCCTGGAAAAGAAAAAAAAAGGTACTATAATGACCAACTAATTATCTTATCAAAATGACTTCTCTTGCCCATTCTCTGCTGGACTGCTAATTGTGCCATGTACTATAGTCGTGAGATCATTTTATAACATTTAATAGTTGAGGGATTCAACAAAGTAACCCTTGTGGTCGGAAGACCATTTATGTATTTTACTCTGTGTATTTATTTTGATTTTTTATATTTTAAAATTCTTAAATTTTTAAGATTAAAAACCTACCGACTTCATAATATAAATGCATAAAGTTATATTTATCCATCTAGTTTGAATTAAAATTAAATTAATTGCACGAACCAACTGATCTTAATGGTTAAGGGACTTGTTATTATCTCTAGAAGTCACGGGTTCAAGCACCAGTAGGGGTATGAGCGTTTATTGTCAATTGATTGAGAGTCTTTGATTGCTTTGTAATTACTCCAGATGTATATTAAAAATTAATTTTCCGTAGAAAAATAGATTAAATGTATTATTCTAATTAAAACAAAGAACGCATAATCATAGGGGTAAACTGGTAACTGTTTAACGACTGACCAAAAATATTCTTTTTTTTCCTCTTAATTTTGACGTTTGTCCGTATACGGGGAGAAGGACAATGCATTGTATTTGATGATTCTTTTCACGATATTCAAATTTGGCACAAATCTCTGAACTGAAGGATATGTCTGTTCTTCTTGTTATAAGATATATAAAACTTCCAATAACTTTGTTTGATCAATGATTAATGAACTAAACTTTTGGTATTGTTATTATTCCAAAACGTTATAGGACTATGTTCCTGGTATGCATTTTGCTACAGTTTCCAACCAACGACAGAACATGGATCAGAACGAGAAAACATTGTATTAAAGAAGAACAAAAACACACCTAAAGTTTAAACTTAACATATGGACAACCATATCATTGGCCTTGTAATATAGTCCAATCTTCTAGTTGATATTTCTGCAATCCAGCCTGACCTCTCCATTGGTACCAGTCAAGGGGTTATGTTTCCCACCTTTATCATGGCCTTAGCAAAGCTAGCAAAAAACTGACTTTGGCTTCTTGTGAACCTATTGACAATGGCCACAGTCTCAGCCCCATTAGTGGAGAACAGTTCTTGATCGGATTGAAGGAGTCCCTTGCGGTTTTGAAGGTTCAAAAAGTACTTGTTGTCAAAGCTAAGGGAAGTTTGTTCGTCAAGATCGATCAAACTCGTGACATCTCCACCTTTAGGACATTGTTATTGAAGTGCTTTCGCGTACGTGGCGTTGAGGGTCGGGTCGACTTCGCCAGATACGTTATTGAAATTGTAGAGGCGGTCCATGAAAGCAGCGTATTGTGCCCTTCCAAATGTGTGAACACCTGAGAAGTATCCGGAATGAAAAAATCGTATTGACCCAAATTTTATCTGATGTAACTTTATTGGTGGAAGAATTACCAGACAAAGTGACAAGATCAGTGGAATCAAGTCCAACGCTCTCGAATCTGGCAGCAATATTGGCAAGGCTATCATGTTGAGTTGGGATGCCTCCAATTCCTTCAAGGTGTGCAATCCGACTATCCATTCTTCCTAGTGGGAATTTCCATGATTGACCTTCAACCTGCACACCAAACATCCGCTTTAACATTGTTCTAACACTAATTTGGAAGGAATACAAAAGATTAGAAGCATTAATTGGTAATGGAAAATAATACCAAGGTAACAGAAATTTGAGCAACAAGGGCCAAAATATCGGCACAGGAGACAACACGAGGAGAAGCTTTCTCTAACGCTGTTTTGATATCATCGATAACGACATATCCATCGGTTGAAAGGTTGGGAGTGGCAGTTTTTTCACCGTCCGTACCATTCAGCAGTAGTGAGGCATCGCAACCCTGTATGCGTGCATATATTAATGTTAGTGGCTATAGGCATGTTTACGTACGTTTCGGTATCAACGAGGAGCAAAAATTGTTGTGTTAGTTTTTGGCAAAAATTGGTCAAATCCTACATTGGAAATTAACAAAGGATGGAAAAATTCTTAGCCTATAAATAGAACATTTCCCTTTGGTTAAATGTATATCAATCACCAAAATACAAGTGGTGTATTAGAAAACTATTAGCTATACTAATAGAGAATTTAAAGGGAAATTCTTTTGGGGTGTACTTTAGCTTTTGGGCATGTGTGAGAGTTAAATATTTTGTAGTGTGGTTGTAATAATTTTCCACATAGTAAATATTTTTTTCTCTTAGTTGTCTTTTGACAACGCCTGTGGTTTTTCTCCATTTGAGAGTTTTCCACGTTAAATTATTGTGTTTTTCTCACTTTTATTTTTCAAGTATTTTTGTTAATGTTGTAATCTAAAGGGATTGTTTGATTACAAGGGGTCTATTTTCCCAACAATTGGTATCAGAGCCAATGGTTTGGTAAAAGATAAACTTTAAGGCGGTGTAGGAATTTCTTTAAATTCTTAGTATGCTCTGTGGTTGCGGCTTTGTCCGATCTTCTACATCAGAAAAGATTTTTTAGAAATTGTTGTGGTTCAACTGGAGGTCCTTTAAATACATTATTGTGTTTATTGAGTGTGGTATTGTGTAAGTAAGTGCAACCAAGAAAGTTTTGTCACAAAGGCTTTAATCGCCTAAGGAGGTTGAGACTTAAGTGGTACTATTTGTGTCCCCCCAATCTTTCCTGGAAACTTTCTTAGTGCATTTTGTAGACACAATTGTTCACTCATTATTCAAGTGTGAGATCACTGTAGCATTGTTGAGCAAAAATGAGTATCAGATTTGATATTGAGAAATTTAATGGGAGAATTAATTTTGGGTTGTGGCAAGTACAAGTCAAGGATATACTAATCCAGTCTGGATTGTATAAGGCCTTAAAGGGAAAGCCAGCTTCTTTGTCCGAAGGAAAGGAACCAGATAAACCTAGTGACAACAGTGGAGACAAGGGAAAATCCAAGATGAGTGAAGAAGAATGGGAGGAGTTAGACATGAGAGCAGCAAGTCAGATTCGTCTCTGTCTAGCCAAAAATGTTCTTGCTAATGTTGCTAGATGGTCATCAACAAAGGATCTTTGGGAAAAGCTTGTGGAAATGTACCAAGTAAAAGTCTTTCAAATAGGTTATATTTGAAGGAGAAATTTCACAAATTACAAATGGAAGAAGGTACAAAAAATTCTGACCACCTTAGTGCACTCAATGGGATTATTTCTGAACTGGAATCTATTGGAGTGGAGATTGATGATGAAGATAAAGCATTGAGACTTATTTGGTCTCTTCCATCTTCCTATGAGCACATGCAAACCGTTTTAATGTACGAGAAAGAGAATGTGAATTTTTCAGAAATGACAAGTAAGCTGATTTCGGAAGAAATAAGGCTGAAAAATGGAGAGAACAAATCTTCTGAAAGTGGAGCATTGTCGGTTTGTGGAAATAGGAAGATGTATAAAGGCTCCAAAGGGAAAATTATCTGCTGGGGATGTGGGCAACCTGGACATCTAAAGAAGGATTGCAAAAACGGTGGAGCTAATTCGGCTAATGGCTCCAAAAGTGATGCTACTAATGTAGTCGTCTTTGAAAATGAAGGCGATGAATTTGCTTTGTAAAGAAAGATATATATCCTCATGGCATGATAGCTACCAATTGAGTTGCCATGGAAAATGATGTATGAAAAGGTAGCATGTCCACATTTACACATGGGCATTGCTTGACAGTTGATGCAAGGTGTGTTGTGGAATTGATGTCGATGGCTAATGAACTTCCTAGAAAGTCAACATTGGAAGTTGCACCATAACTTATTAGCAGTTTTTCGACATGAACAGGTCGAGGTAAAAATTCTTGGAGTTAGTGAATTCCAAGTGTGTATACTCTTATGGTGGAGTATGACAATTCTTGTTTTTAGAATTGTGACTATCATAGCTGATGGTGTTATTGAGGTAGCTGTTGTTTTTATGGTGAAGAATTGTATGCAATTTTTGCCAAGGTAGAGATTTGTTAGTTTTTGGCAAAAATTGGCCAAATCCCACATTTAAAATTAACAAAGGATGGAAAAATTCTTTTTAGCCTATAAATAGAACATTTCTCTTTGGTTAAATGTATGTCAATCACCAAAATACAAGTGGTGTACTAGAAAGCTATTAGCTATACTAGTAGAGAATTTAAAGGGAAATTCTCTTGGGGTGTACTTTAGCTTTTGGGCATGTGTGAGAGTTAAATATTTTGTAGTGTGGTTGCAATAATTTTCCACATAGTAAATATTTTTTTTCTCTTGGTTGTCTTTTGACAACGCTGTGGTTTTTCTCCATTTGGGAGTTTTCCACGTTAAATTATTGTGTTTTTCTCTCTTTTATTTTTCAAGTATTTTTGTTAATATTGTGATCTAAAGAGATTGTTGGATTACAAGGGGTGTAACAACCCGAATATTTACAAAATAATATTTAATTGAAATTGGACGTTAATTGTGAAAATTGGTGAAATTTAATGACTGAACTAAAATTTATGAAAAGTTATAGGCCATTTTATAAGTTGAAGGAAATTCAGGGACCAAGCCCTGAATTCCTCCAAGGAGTGTCGGCAGGCTTATAATTTAAGCGTGGTTTCTGATTGTAAATAAGAAAACACAATTGAGAATTTGCTCAATTTTCCTTCTCTCGTACCCTTACTTCCAAGCCCGATTCCGACGCCGTTCGACGTCCAATCGTAAAATTGAAACCACCGTTGTATTCATCATCAAGCGAGGAACAAACCATTCAAATTAATTGAAGTGAAACGCTGCCAAACGTCTGGAATTTTCAGTCAAAGCATCGTCGTTTTTTTTAGCTCTATCGCCGGGAAAAACTTAAATTCACCGCCGATCGTTGTTCCGTTTACGACACCTCCTGCACCATCGTGTTCCTTGTGTCATTGCGAGTCCGCCGGTGTCAACCTTGTTCGCCGTCGACGGCGGCGCGTGAGGAGGTGGAGCAGTCAAAGATTCGGCCGAGTTGAAATACGAGCTCTCCGTCGTTCAAAAATTTGAACCGATCGTTGTAAGTATCTCGAAATCGCTCAAAATAATTTTTAGAAATTTTTCCTGGAATTTTCCGACACCATGGCACTGTTCACGCGCCGCACGCGCCGCCGCAGGGAGAGTGAACTGCATGAAAACCGGTTTGACCAGTTTTGAACCGGTTTGACCAGTTCGAACCGGTTTGACCGGTCTGAACCGATTTGACCGGTCTGAACTGGGTTGACCTGACCCGACTGTTGACCCGACCCGACCGTTGACCCGACCCGACCGTTGACCGTTGACCGTGACCGTTGACTTTCTTTGACTAAAACTTAAAATGGCTTTGACCGACCCTTAAACGACCGTAAATCTTTTCCGAGTATACCTATCCTGATAGTTTTCGACGTGCCAAATCCATTTCCACAGTCTGTTTCGCCAAATTCAAACCTGAAGGTCTCCAAATATACGGTCAAAGTGGTTGACTTTGACTTTGACCAAGAATCTGAATTTTCGAAAAGTCATACTTTATATTTTTCGACGTCCTGATTCTGTTTCCGCAATCCGTTTGGCCAAATTCAGACTCGAAATACCCCAAATTGATAGTCAAACTCGAAAAATGCTTATATACTTAAGAAGACTAGCTTTGAACAATTAAATAGGATTTGGGACTGATAGATTATTATTGTTTGAAGGTACAAGAGACTCTCCGGATCGTTCGACAGCTCGACCCAGCTCTTCTAGATCAGTTAAACCACGTGTGCCAGTATTCACCCGTTCGAAAATTGTAGCAGAGCGTGGTGAAACCAGCAATCAGTAAATTTGCTATTTGAACCTATTATCGAGGTGTGTTCCCTACTTATTATTGAACTGTTTTATTGGTTTTAATATGTGGTACACCGAATTCATTGGCTATTGTTTTATGGATGCACCAATTTAATGTGACAATTTATGGAATATGGCTGCTATCAAATTTTTGTTTTGAAATGGTATATGATTACCATGTTTTTGGATTTATGGAATTTATGTCACGGTGCAATTGAATTTTGGAATTAAAATACGATGGAATAGCTCTGATCAAGCTAACTGGGCCTAATGTGACTCTTGAGGGCCCCAAGATGTTTCATTAGGTTGGCTTTCCTTTGCTGTGTGCTTAGGGTAAGCTATATGGACTTATTGACTTGGGCTTAAGGATACAAGCTTCAGAGCCTATCATTAAGTCGGCTTTCTTTTTGCTATGTGCATAAAGTAAGCTATATGGAAAATAATTTTGGGAACTACTGATGGTGTACCAGAAAAGGGTTTAAACTATGATTTTCAAAAAGTTAAACTCTTTTACGAATTTGTGAGATTACTGGACTATGATTTGTACCTATGGTGATTTTATGGAAATGTTGGGACACACTGAGCCTAGCTCACCTTTTGAAAATGTTTTCCCCTTTCAGATACTGTTGGTTAGATACCTTGGTTCGAGCACTTGGAGGATCAACATATCTCTTGAAGTAAATCAAATTGTAAAGTTTTTTTTATCTGGCAAGTTGACTTTATTTTGGTGACATGGACCTTATTTTAAAATATCGGATTTTATAATGATAACTCTTTTGCTAATACTGCTCGGTTTATTGTGATATTGAATTTGAAGACAAGTTTTAAATTAAATTATTATTTATTGGTACTATATTTACGAGTTGGATTTTGATAGTATAATTTGTTTATAATTTCATGTTATTTATAATGTGATTTTATATTGATGGAATAACGGTTTCGAAAAATGTCTTTAATAATCATAATGTGATCCACTAGACTTAGTCGAAACGCATAGGTCGGGTTTAGGGGGTTACATTTATTGGTATCAGCGCTTTTGGTTTTTAACCCTCGGACTGTGTATGAGTCCACATTGAAAATACAGTTTTGAAATATTTTACAAAACGAGTTACTAAGGCCATGTCACAAAGTTATTAAGATTTTAACTATGTTCGAGACTCCAAGTGCTTATCTAACCTTAAGTTTATCTTCTGTAGTAATCTCGAGATCTACCAAAATGAGTGCTAGACGTGGTCGTCGAACTAGTCGTGGACGAGGTCGAGTAGCTAGATTTGCAGATCCGATTGATGAGATACGAGTAGATCCCCCACCTCTAATAGGTGATCCTGCTCCTACGACACCAACGAATATGCCACCTACCGATGGTATTGGCATGACTACACCGATCATAGGAGCGACCGATATTGAGTCAGAGTCTACTGGAATTGCATTGGATGAGAATTTTAGTAGACAGTTTCTGCAGTTAATACAGGGAGCAGTTAGAGCTACTGGTGTTGTATCTGAGGTTCCTATTTCACAGACGTTGATTGCCAATGGAGTTAGAACTTTTGGGGACAGATTGGTGGAGCTCCTACTGAAGCTGAGGATTGGCTCCAGGATACAGAGAGACGCATGGATCAGTTGGGTTTGGACTCAACTAAGAGATATATGGGTGCTGTAGCAATGTTAGATGGTAATGCCTACACTTGGTGGGAGTCAGTGACCAGTA